GGCTGCTCTGGTCACGGCCACCAGGGTGACTGTGTACACGGCCGGGAGCCCAGGCCGTCACTGCCCCCCATCACCCCAGCTTCTGGCCCCCATGGGTGCCGACTTCCGTCTCCGAGGTCCCTTGCTGGAGTTCAGAGCCCCTCGGCCCCCAGGCCACCCAGCCCCCTGGGTCCACAGCATCTGGACCCGGGAGGCAGGAGCCTGGGGTCGCGGTGGCCAGTCTGGAGCGGGATGAGGAAGCCCAGCTGGTTGCGCGCTGCCCTCTGGTGGCCGTCCCTTATTCAGACGAGGCTGGGCAAGCGTTTTTTCTTCCCGTGTCCACGCGAAACTGCCTTCCCTGCCCCCGCTTCTTTCTCCATCTGCGGGGCCACCGTGGCCATCGGATCGGCGCAGGTGCTCGGCGTGGGCCTGGCGGGGGCACCTGTGGGTGCCATCCGCCTCCCAGACCGCCGCCGCCGGGCTCTGTCCTGACCCGCTGTGTTCACACCACTGTTTGATCTCCTCAGAGCAACCCTGGCGGGCCACTTCTTGCTCAGGTCACTCAAATGCGTGACCAGGCCCAGAGAGGGCAGCTGACTTGTCCCTGGCCGCTCAGCGAGCATCTGGCGGATGAAGCCAGTTCTTCCTCCTGTGCCTGGTCTTCCATGCAGCTTGTGGGCTCCCAGGCTGGCCCCACCCCTGGTGGGATGGAGCGTTCAGGGCGGGCAGGTCTTGCGTGGCCCCGGGTGAGCGGGGTCAGGCTCTGCCAGTTGGGAGAAGCGCCTCCGAGCTCCCAGGCCTGTGGGTTCTGCGTCTGAGGGCCGTCCTCCCTTCTAGACCCCAGGAGCACAGGCGGCTTCGTCCCAGCGGGTGGGCGTGGGACCCCGGGCGGCCTCGGCCAGGCCTGCTGGTGGGTGCTGCAGGTGCTCCCAGGGCTCTCCAGCCACCCCCTTCCCGTGGCATCTGAGGCCAGAGCTTACAGCACCGGGAACATCGAGCCCAAGCCCCAGGAAGAGCCCGTGTTAGCTCAGGTGTCTGCAAGCTGTCTTGGGGCGGACACTCACTTCACCCCAGTTTTCTTCTGACTACGAAAAAAAACACCCGCTCGTTATGGAAATCTTGGAAAATCCAAAGAAGCGAGTGAAAAAGCACCCAGTGCACGCCCTCAGCCACCGAGCACGCGGTCAGATTCCAGGGGGTTCATTTTGTGTTTTCAGTGTCTAAATACTTTCCCGTCCACGCAGTACGCCGGCTCCGATCTGTGGGACGATGACCTCCGAGAGCGTGCCGCGCGGCCAGGGAGCTGGGACCCTGTGGCTGCAGGGGCAGGAGCTCTGGGGCACGGTGCAGCCCACCACCCGGATCCAGACAGCCGTTGTCCGGGTGGCTGGGTGCGGGGCTTCCCCTCCTGCCTCGGCCTCTCCCCGCCCTAGGCCGGCGGGGAGACTCAGCTCGCGTTTGAAACCCACGGAGGGCAGGGCCACGGAGCAGCCGTGGTTCAGACCAGGCGAGGGCTGTTGGCGAGCGTCGGACAAGGTGTCCCTCCGCCGGTGGCCGCCTCCTTCCCACCCGCGAGCGCTGACACGACGTGATTTCTGTCCTGGTGGGCTGCGGGGTGCCCCCTGCACATTAAAAGCACGCGCTATGGGGGCGTGAGTGTGGTTCACACGTGGACGGTTTTGTCTGGGGAACAGAGCCCACCGGAAGCCGGTCTCCCAGCGGAGACATCAGCCTGCCGCGGTATCGCCAGGGTCCAGCAGGTGGCAGCGGAGGTCCTGAGGGAAGATGTCCTCGCGCCTCACGTGCACCAGGGGGTGTGGCTGCCGGGGAGGGGGGGTGCTAGGGCGGCCCAAAACCCCGCGGGGAGCCCGATCCAGACCCCACTCGGGACGCTCAGAGCTCCCCACCCCACGCATTTTCTTTTTTCTTCTTTTTTTGTCTGAGTCGGGAGTTTCACTCTGTCGCCCAGGCTAGAGGGCAGCGGCACGATCCCAGCACGCCGCTGCCTCGACCTCCTGGGCTCAGGCGATCCTCCTGCCTCAGCCTCCCGAGTTGCTGGGACTACAGGCACGCACCACCACGCCCAACTAATTTTGATTTATTGCAGAGACAAAGTCTTGCCGAGTAGCTCAGGCTGGTCTCGAACCCCTGGGCTCAGGCAATCCTCTCGCCTCCGCCTCCCAGAGTGTGGGATGACAGGCGTGAGCCACCGCACCCGGCCTCACCCCATGCGTTTTCCAGGGAGTCCCTGGGAGGGTGGTGGCCGCACGTGGGTTTGTAGAGGGCCGTGGGTGTCTCGCCCCGAGTTGCCCTCCAGCCTTCTGTTGGCCTCATCAGCCAGAGACCTGATGTCCGTTCCAACAGTGCCCGAGGCCTGGCTGCCTCCCCCGGGAAGGTTGCATGTCTGACTGTAACACCCAGGGAGCCCTCGGTGTCCTCGTACCAGCAAGCGCCGCTGTCTTTTTTTTTTTTTTTGAGCTGGAGT